CACCAGTAATGCCTCTGGACTAAGTTCAGGGTTTTGGCTTGACCAAAGTGTCCTGCACTTGGATGGTCGTGAGCCAACTGGCAGATCTCAGTCCGCAGACTGGCTGGTATATATACCTGTTTGCCTCACAGCCATAACCCGTCTGTACAGCGTATCTCTTGCTGTTGTTTTACAGACGCAAGCTGGGGATCTTGGCCATAGGCCCGATGGATTCTGGAGGCCAGATCCTCTGCCTCTACTATCTTTTTCTTATCTCCCCGCTTGTGTATTACTCTTAAGCCACAGACAATCAGTTGACTTTTCCTCCTGGCTTCCCGTTCATTGGGAGATGGAGGGATGCGAGAGAGTGGATCAGCCACGTTCTTTTGGCCTGGGCGATATTCCCAGTCAAAGTCAAATTGTTGTAAGATTTCAGACCACCTGGCCTATCTTCGGCTCAGTTGTGGTTGTGACTTAAGGTAAGTTAACGGACAATAGTCTGTTACCAGTTTGAAGCGTGTTCCTTCAAGGTAACACCTCCATAATTGGACAACGTGAATAGAAGCCAACGCTTCTTGGTCCGTCACACTATAGTTCAACTCCGCCGGGAGGAACTTTCTGCTGGCATAGCATATTGAATGATTGTCTTGCATCAGAACTGCTCCCACTGCAGTCTGAGAGGCATCTGCTATGACCTCAAAAGGTCTCTCAGGGTCTGGCATTTTGAGCAATGGAGCTGTGGTTAAACACTCCTTTATATGCTCAAATGTCTCTTGACATTTCGCTGTCCACTCCCACTTGCCATTTTGTTTGGTCAATTTTGTCAAGGGAGTAGCCATTTTCGAATAGCCCTATATAAAGTTTCGAAAATTGTCTGCCAGCCCGAGGAACTATTGTACAATGTAGAGGTGGCCACCCGGATCCGTTAATAGCGGACGAGGGCGCCCTCCATTAAATATCCGTTAATTTAGCGGACCGCGCTTTCTCTGTTGCTGATGTGGCACGGATGGCAGCGGACGGCTGGCCCCAATCAGCGGACTCTGCGGATTCTGCTTGGGTGTTAACGGATATTCTCTTATGGACCGGAAGCCACGTACCCCATCCGCTAATCTAGCGGATGACAGCGGACGTGTGTACCGAATCAGCGGATGACAGCAGAGCCCATGCAGTAAGTACTGATTTCCGAATCTGCGGATCGGGTTGATTGCTAGCGTGGCTCAGCCAGGGTCCACATACAGCGGACCTTGGTGGTGACTGCGCACATAATTGGTTGCCCTCCTGTTGGTGGCTCGTGTGGCGGCAGGGGCAGGAGACGGCGGAGGGTATGGACCCAACACCTGCTCGGCCAGCAGGTGAGGCATACCGCGCGGTATACCATCGGCCAGGGCGACGCCCTCAGTACCGCCTGCTTTGGTGGGAAATTCCGGGCCGTGGGGGGTGTTGGGGGGTGTTTGGGGGGGCCTCGGATGATCTGTTGGCCGAAAACCTGTGCGTGGCCGGATGCAATCCGCCGGTGATGCACAAGAGCGCGCTATCCTGTCTGGCCAGAGCAACGCCCTTAGGCTTTGGCGGGAAATTCCAGGCCGTGGGGGTGTTTGGGGGTGTTTGGGGGGGCCTCGGATGACCTGTTGGCCGAAAACCTGTGCGTGGCCGGATGCAATCCGCCGGTGATGCACAGGCATAGCGCGCTATCCTGCTTTCTGGCCAGGGCAACGCCCTCAGTACCGCCTGCTTTGGCGGGAAATTCCGGGCCGTGGGGGGTGTTGGGGGGTGTTTGGGGGGGCCTCGGATGATCTGCTGGCCGAAAACCTGTACGTGGCCAGATGCAATCCGCCGGTGATGCACAGGCATAGTGCGCTATCCTGCTTTCTGGCCAGGGCAATGCCCTCAGTACCGCCTGCTTTGGCGGGAAATTCCGGGCCGTGGGGGGTGTTAAAAGGGGGGGGGTTCTCGTATTATCTGTGGACTTTGAAAACCTGGATGTTGGCGGATGCATTCCGGCGAGTGATACGTGGGCATAGTGTGGGCTTCTGCTTCTGGCCGCCTTACCCAAGGTATACCTACATGTCCTATCCCACTGGCTGCGTTACCAAAGTATTCTTACCCGCCCCAAGTCACCGGCTGCATTACCCATGGTATAACTTCCCTGCCTAAGCCACGGGGATCGCCTTTGGTGCTCAGAACTCTATTATACTCGTCAATTACCCAAGGTATTCGGTCCAACTCTCCTTGCTGGAGTGCAGCTCGCGGTGTGACGCACCCTCCAGAATTCCAGCCTCATATCCAAGGTTGAGCCCACTCTCCATTGGGTCAGCTCATCCTCCTGGCATCCGGCAGTGGCTGTACAGGGTGGCACGTCATCAAATCTCCAGCATAGGCTCATGGGGTCGTCGTTCGTCATCCAGCCTTCCAGTTCAAGGGTGTTTGGCAGCACTATCCTTCATGGGGTTTCCTCACAGGGTAGCACGCATCCTCGACGCTGTCGTTTCATTGTCGTATGGGCAGGGCACAACCTACAGCCTTCACAATCAACTACAGCACATCCCAACATGCATAGACTTTCCTATAATTCAGTTAGCATATCGCAATCAATCCTTAAGGTACATGGTTCAGGTGGGGTACTCAGAAAATCGCCATAGTAGGCCCATTTTAACTCCACAATAAAGTAATGAATGTCCCAGAAATCCTTTAGCACATAAAGACAATCCCTCAGGCCCCCATGGCTATGTCTCAATGCCCCAAGGAACTGAGAGAATACAAACTCTACCCACTTCACCCTAGTGCACCGAGACCCGATAGCTATATGTTGTGTCCCAAGGTCCCCTATGGTCAAATATTCACAACAATACCTCTAGGTTTGTGAAATGCCCAAATCCATTAAGATTTGATGAAGTTATGGCCTTGCAAAATTGTAATACTCAGGGCTTTAGACAGAGGAGTGCTGGTACTTAAGTCAATAGGGAAAACGGGTCGGCTGTAGGTGAATGGGGGACAGTGATGTTGTGCCTAAATGCGCACTTAAATTGCCTTGTCATAATGTAATTGTGATGGACCCGTAATCGGGCACCACACATGCGATGAGTGCACGCGCATGCAACGAATCTTGTAACCGCATTCTTGGCCCACTGTCTTGTTTGCTGCTAGCCAACGAACTGCCGTCATTGTGCTGCCACCTCTCGCCAATAGTAGGCTTTAGGGTACAATCCCCATCGTGACTTGGGTCCACCACGCGACCACACAATCGACTGCCCCGGATATGCCCAATATCTGAAGTGGAGAGGCCGGCCAACTTCCAGCTGCCGTGCTACAGGGCAAGGCGACCCCAACGCCTTTGGAAACTAGTGGTCGCTGACAGGATCACAACATAACTGTTCTAGCCCACTCTCTAGCCTTTTGTGAGGTAGCGAACCACCACCTCGTTGTGTTGCCACCTTTCGCCAACACCAGGGCCCTGGGATCGATCCTTGTCGAACATTGAGCCCATGGTGTGACCTTCCCAGCGTCTACCCCAGATACCCCCACCGTCCAAGTGGAGAGGCTAGCCGAACCTCCAACGGCTATGTTGCAAGGCAAAGTGACCCCAACGCCTCCAAAAACTAGCGGCTTCCGATAGGGCCGCAACAAATGCGAGAAGGCAAACCATAGGATGAAGGGACGGCGTATCCAACAAAGATTCAAGGTGGGACACCGGGCGTGGTTGTGAAACACGAAGGCCGAAACACTCAAGAACAAGCTCGAACCATGGTAAAAAGGTATGGGGCAGTTGATTCGCCCTATAACGAATGGAGTCTAGGAAGCATGGGGTCTAGAGGTGAAAGTATGGGTTAGACACACCGATATGTTGTGGCCGTACCAGGATGCATCTTGAAAAGGGACGAGTTTCCTTGGGTGTGTGTTTGGCGCATAGAAGCGTGTGAGGGCAAGGGAGTGGTTAATATATAACATGTGATATATGGTGTTTTTTATGGTAGGAAGTAAATGTGGTGAGCATGGCGTTATAGTGAATGTACATGGAGACAATGGAGACGGGAGGTGGACATTATTATAGTGACGGTTATTTAGCTATTACGATTATCCCGTAATGCATCTGGTTGTGGTTTTGCTTCCCGTGCCTGGTAGTGACCGTGTGCGAGCGTGCGTGAGAGAGTCTTGTCAACCTCATAATGATAATCGATAATAATCATCATAATAATTATCTTTCATGGTGCACTCTCTTGTGGTGCCAATAGTGACTGCCCTACCAGGTGATAGCACACAAATGCCCTTTCAGGGTAAGAACTCATCATTGAAAATAATGGGCCTAGTGTAACTAGTGAACTAACTGAATAAGGACACAAAACCCCCTTGGCAGGGGTCCCATAGCTAATTTGAACTGCAATGTTGGGAAATTGCTAGCACACAAAGCAGAAAAAATGTCCTTTTTAGGCAAACATTGTGGGGGACGCAAAAAAGTACTTAAGGAAGGCCAACAACCAATGATGTTGAGATTACAATGGGATCGAAATGCAATATTGGAAATGATGGTAGTCGATAGGGACAGCCCTGGAGGCTGTCAATTGTGCCATTTTGGGGCCACCCTTAAATCCTGAACGCTTAAAAGAGGTGCATCAAATTGACGCTAAGCATAACAATTTCGGCACAGTGTCTTCCCTAAGCAATCGGCAGCCTTGGCAGTTTTGGGGCACACAGCACTGGTTGCTTTGTGCGCTGCTCATGGACAGCCAACCGTGCTCATGCAGCCGCTCCCAAAGTCATGGAGATCATCTCCGTTCACCATGTTGAGCCCACAGAATCCGCGACTGTCACAAATATGGCCATGATGCTGCTTGCCAAAAGGCTGTGAACGTCCACCATGGTGGCCAAGTCCAGCAAACTTCGGCCAAAAGCAGCTCAATTCGGGCAAATGGCCTAGCAAAATTCTGAAAAAGCAACCTCAATTTGGATGATGTCTGGCGGGGTTGAACAAATAAAAACACTTGTCCTAATATTCAATGGAGCATATTGCTGCAAGTTTGTTGGGGCTAACAGTTGGCATAGTCCCCATATCGCACCCCGATAGTCATCCAGCAGTTCTGCACAATGCAAAACCATTGTCAGACAAGTCACTTAGTACACGGCATATGAACCAACAATGAACCTGGCACTTGAAGATACAAGGAACAAGAGGAAAGTGTTGGAACTACTCCAAATTGAGCTTCAGCTTAGACAAGCCCAGAAGGGTAAGAGCAAAGGATTAAAGTACATGGTGCTCAAGGTTTTTAAGGTGTAGAGACCAGGACATTTTGTGTGACCATGTTAGCATTCAAGGCAACAGTATTACAGATGGCACCTGAATTGTAAAAAAGGGCGATCCTCCATCAGACGTGGTTCAAGCTCAATTCGAAGCAGGCACAAGCGTTGATTTTCCACTTGCAAATGTTCGATCAGGTGCTCCTTCTAGTTCGACCAGATTCAGCATCTATACTCGGTCTAGAAGAAATGATGTGCAAATGGTAAATATTTCTGTGTGTACTGCAGTTGCATGAGACAACAACAAAGAAACCTTTGGAGGCACAACACGCTGATGTAAGAACAAGACCATATTCAATAGTCAAATAGCAGGCCCTCATGTACTCAACGAACTCTGTGAGATCAGGAAACAATGATGCCCATTTTGTATCACACGCTGACAAATTCACCTTCACATTGGCCGCTTGCATGCTAATGTGCCTGCTGAACCCATTTCATCACCAGTGAAGTCTGAATACAACCCTCCATAACCACTGTATGCCATGCACGCACAGAGCTACTACACTGTAGAGTGCTGCACAAGAACAGGACAGCATTCCTTTAACCAAATATTTCACAGTGCTACAACACCCATAGTCTGGTGAGCAAGAAAGAACCAACATTGCATTACTGCAAGTCAGTCCAGCAAAACTACAGGTCAACATATTCAAGAGTTTGGCTGCCAGAATCCTAGCCAATCACAGCAAAGCAACAACTGATGGACAAATGATCCACACCCATGTGCAACCAGGAGGCCATGTCAGCTTGGCGTAAACAGCAAAGAACACAGTTTCCTACCTTGTATGACCCTTCTTTGACCTTCTCCAACAAGAAGGTGAATCTATGTGGCCTTTGCCGTGAACTGATGTGCTTGCTAATGCCTTCTTCAACTTCAACAGCTTGGACTGCACGTTCAAATCGTGTGCTTGGAAAAACGACTTGGGAAATTTCCTGGCCATCGTCCATTTTTTGCCCAGTCAGTCCACAGCCTTTGACATGAGCAAGGGCAAAGCAGAAACACAGCCACTGGAATATGAATACCACAAAAGCCTAGTAGCAATGCCAAGAGCTACCATACTGCAAGCAATTTCATAAACACAACAGAGAAATGTGCAACAATCCAACACTGCAGCTTTTTTGTTCCACCGACATCCCAAACGGCCTGGCACACGAAGGGATCCAGTTTGTCCCACCCATGCAAAGGTTTGGTCCCGCTGACAGAGGTGTTACCTGCCAGCTGTCACAGTCCAAAAGAACATCATAAGGACTTGAGTGCACCATATCAGAGAACTCGTTCAAATTCAACCACTCTTCCTTTCCCAACCAGCTCCGAGCACGTATGCGGCAACCCTGCCAAACAGCCAGACACAAACAATTGTAGTGCTGTGCTGTTCACAACTATCTTCACTATCCAGATGAGCTCTGTGTGCACCTGTGGGAAGAGAAAGTGCTTTGTGTGTGCATACATCCTCTGCTACCACTGTTGCAAGACAGTGCCCATGCTCCTGCAAGATGACAATAATTCCATGCAAGAAAGCGACCTCAATGAATGCTCTGCAAAATTTTTCTTGAAACCATATTTTAATATCTTGAAACCATAAACAAAACAGCAGGCAATGGTCCGCCATAGGAGATATAGCCAATCTCATTCCCCACCATAAATGGAACCTATGCCAAGTACCTACAAGGCAAAAGTATTGAAACCTACAGTGTTGATGCTCAAAGCAGCTGGTGAAATATGTGCACCGCATCACATGATCATCATTGAAACCATCTCTGATGGCAAGGTTGCCAACATTTATTACTCATGGGACACAGGTAACAGGCTGCAAACAGCAGGTGCCATGCTTCAGTTTGCCAGAACTCAGCAGGTTGGTTGTAACAAACCAATGCACCAGCGAGTCACCACCTGCCCTGGCAACATGGTCTCCTGGTCAGGAGGCTTTGCAAATAGGAAGGCTGTTTTGACGCCAGCGTCGGCCTCTGGCCAATCGTTCATTTGCAGTGCATCCATCTGTGCGGCAACGACGGCATTCGGTGGGAGCAGATGGGAGGGCGCACGGTCCTTCAACGGTGCCTTCACACCCTTGTCGCTGATGTAATGTGAGAATTCGGAAGCTAGAAGCTGGCCTGCGAGCGCACAACGGCGGAGCAACGTCTGCAGCGCCCCTCCAGCCACATGAAACATCTGCTCGCGCCCACTGGCCCCCTTTCACCGCATCTTATTCTGTTCAGTTACCCTAAAGTGCAACGAAATGCACTCCACGAAAGCAACGGATCAGTTGCATGTCGGGATTGACACGTTCCCGCCACCCCCAGAACACAATAGTCTGTGTCAGAAGCAGAAGGGGCAGGGCGCACCTTCTGGGGCATCTTCCTGGCCGTGGGCCTGAACACAGGAGGAGCAAGACCGTTCGGCAACGCATGACCTATGGCCATAGTGCACGAAAGGCAACGCACACGCCAACCGCGACAAGCCTGGCCCGACCGGCCGACCGGAGCTGGGTTGCTGTAACATTGCAACTTTGCTAGATGGACTGCCCTAACAGCGAAGGCGACACCGCAAGCCGTCTTTGGACAGCCTTCAGGCTGTTGCGTGCAGAATAGGCAGCAGCCCCGCACAGGGTGGCAACCAGATCGAAACCCCAAACGAACAAAACTCGGGTCAACGTGTCGGGCCAACAGGGTGTTGCACCATTCTCGGAAATGGGGAGAAAACGAGAATGATGTCCGAAGATGTGCGCAGAATGGGAGTCCTCAAAAAAGGTGAATATTTCTTTCTGCGATATGTTAAAATACATGCCCCTTAGTGATCGCCCCGAAGGACCCATAGATCACAGGCTGAACTTAATCTTTGCTCTATTAAAACTCACTTTGCTTTGAGAGTTTGGGATCATCATGTTGAACTGAACAAATAACCCATTGCTTAAATTGATGATCAATCATAATCAACATCGTCAAGAAATCAATCCTGATTGAGCAACATCACTTCATTTTCAAATGCTCAGTCCACATGCATCACCCTTTCAACCCAATATACCCAACCATCACACATGACTTGAGAAACCTACACAACACTTGCTACCACTTTTCCACCTCTTGCCAAATGCAATGCTGCCCTTTGCACCACACCTTGCTCTGAATCTATAGATCCATCATCCGGCAATTCAATTCTTGATCCCCTTGATCCTCCTTATCCGCACTGGATCACTTCAGAATATTCTACAAATTCGCCAGATGAATCTCCACTCTTGCCTGAACAAGTTTGCTCATGGGCCTCTAGTCCGAATTCGGACTCCTTCTTGGTGCTCTAGTACTTAAGGTCTTCTAAGGGGGAGGCCCTATTGGGCCCCCGGGCCCAAGAACGAGGGGGTGCGGGCGGTTGGCACTGTTGTCAAATGGACCAGCGTCCCCCCCCTTTTATCCTCTGCCACTGCCCCATAACACCACTCCCTTACACTATCACAACATCCCTTACACCATAACATCCTATGCCTTATCCCATAGACTTTCCCCTTACACCATTGCACTCTAAATGCACTTCATATTGAACTACCCTGTTTCAACGCCCTACCACACTGCGAACTCACATATTGCACCTATAACATTCCCCCTTCCCGTCAGAATCCACCACACTCGCCAGAATTCACCATATGCATTTCCTAGTGATAATACCCCATTATGCCATCACCATTTTCCTTTATCCCATGCACAGCACCAGCCACCGGCATACTTTACACTCTATTGCACTTTCCACACAACTCTCACGGCGCCCACAGCATCCCACAGCCCTCACACACGCTGCCAAGGGTGGCAGGACGGTGACACGCTCAACATCACCCATCACACTATTGCCACCACCCTTATGTAATGCACGTGGCACATCGCGCCCAACGACCAGTGCCACCAAGTTCACACCTATATTACAGCGTGTGTGAGCCCATGACATGCCGCATTCACTTATGTTGATAAAAATAGATGATTGATCATTATCCTAAATGATTCAAATGAGTTTAATGACTTAAATGATTGTTATTTAGCCATAGCATATCCAAATTCATCAGAATCGCGCAAGCAATTCAATGATCATGTTTTCACTGCCCAATTCATTCATCTAAGCCATCTAACTCATCAAAACTTTTGTCAAATCATCTTAAACATCAATTGATCCTTTGTGTTGTTGTGCACACCCTAAGTTTTGCCTCAATGGGGAGTAGTCACCGTATGCATCATATTATTGTTTTTTCACTTGTGCAGCAATGCCAATTTGTTGTCCACATCATCCACATATTAGTCACCATGGTGACTATACCATAATTTAACAGATAGTGGACTGTTCCTTTTTGCGACAGTGCCAAACTACTCTTTTCTGTGACAATGGGTTGTTCATTTTTGCGATAGTTTTTTTTACAACGGCCATGGCTAAAGAGTGACTCCGGAATCCAAGCGCCCTGTGAATCGGCTGCCCAGCGCACCCACCCCTGCGCAAGAACGTCTTTCGCGGCGATGTTGGATCTTTGTCCTTATCAAGGCAGAACCTCCATGTTCGCAGGCTGAACCTACGCGTGAGTGGGGCTTAGGTTTGGCATAAGGTTGTGTTGTGGCTACGTGGCACTCAGTTGACACTGTATGCCCACACATGTTGGCAAGGGCGCCCAAAACAGCCAGCAAAAGGCACACGTTCAAACCGGTCAAAAGCACTTGGTGCCAGTGCCAATGCACCGTCGATGCTTGCGCGATGCACTGGCTAGCAACCAACACCATGACTCCCACGTTGTCTCCAAATTTATGTCCTAGATGGGGACAATGGGCGTGCGCCCCCACCATCACTTCAGCCGTGCACATCCAAGGGCGCCCACCCCGATCTCTCACCTCCCGGCTCCTATTGTTGCGGCCCCGTCAGCGGTTGCTGGTTTCCGGAGGTTGCTGGTTTCCGGAGGTGTGACGTGGCTACTTGGGGTTTAGGCTTATTTGACATTTCTAGAGTGGTAATTATATAATTGTCCAAATCTTTTGTGAGTGTTATTTAGAGCTTCCTGGTTCCAACGCGCCCTTAATAGAGGTGGCCACCCGGATCCGTTAATAGCGGACAGAGGTTAATTTCCGTTAATTTTCCGTAAATTAACGGAAAATAATGAAAAAAGACAAAAATTAACCAAAAATTAACGGATTTTTGGATTTTTTGGGGATTTTTGGGTTTTATTCATACTTATAGTTTATGGAATTCGCTATTAGAGAGTATGTTTGTATTTTATTTCAACCTATGCATACTAGATTTTCAACTAGCCGCAGTTGTTGTGATTTTTTGGGTTTTTTTTCGATTTTTTTGGATTTTTTTCGTTTTTTCTGAATTTTTCTCCCTTTTTCTTTAACTAAATTTAACGGACAGCTGATAAAAATTAACGAACCGGATTTAACGGACCGGATGGCACCCTTGAATGGCCACCTCTAGCCCTTAAACGCCCAAATCCGTTAAGAAACGGCAAAGATATGGCCTTCTGAATCTGTAGTACTTAGGGCCAGGGGGTCGAGGGTTAGATGCTTGGAATTAGAGGACAATGGGTTGATCGTAGGTGAACGGTGGACGGTGATGATGTGCATGGATGCGCACTTGACTTGTCTTGTCTTGATGTGATGGCGATGGACACGTGATTGGGCATCGCGCATGCGATATGTGCGCGCGCATGCAGTGAATCGTTGTAACTGTTCTGGCCCACTCTCTGGCCTCCCGTGAGCCAGCGAACCGCCTAACTGCTGCGCCGCCGCCTCTCGCCAACAGCAAGCCCCGGGGATCGATCCCCGTCGAGCATTGGGCCCACCGCGTGACCACCAAAGCGCCTGCCCCGGATATGCCCACCGTCCAAGGTGGAGAGGGCCGGCTGACCTCCAATAACTGAGTTGCAGGGCAGGGCGACCCCAACGCTAGAGGTGGCCACTCAAAGATGCCATCCGGTCCGTTAAGTCTGGTTCGTTAATTTTTATTAGCTGTCTGTTAAATTCCGTTAAGGAAAAAGGGAGAAAAATTCAGAAAAAACGAAAAAAATCCAAAAAATCGAAAAACCCCCCAAAAAATCACAACAACTGCGGCTAGTTGAAAATCTAGTATGCATAGGTTGAAATAAAATACAAACATACTCTCTAATAGCGAATTCCATAAACTATAAGTATGAATAAAACCCAAAAATCCCCCAAAAATCCAAAAATCCGTTAATTTTTGGTTAATTTTTGTCTTTTTTCGTTATTTTCCATTAATTAATAGAAAATTAACGGAAATTAACCTCTGTCCGCTATTAACGGATTCGGGTGGCCACCTCTACCCAACGCCTCTGGAAACCAGCGGCTGCCGACGGGGCCGCAACAGGAGGTGTTGGGGTTGCCCTGCCCTGCAACTCAGCTACTGGAGGTCAACCGACCCTCTCCACCTTGGACGGTGGGCATATCCGGGGCAGGCGCTTTGGTGGTCACCCAATGGGCCTAATGCTCGACGGGGATTGATCCCCTGCTGTCAGCAAGGTGGCAATGCAGCGACGGTGGTTTGCTAGCTCGTGGGGAGGCCAGGCAATGGGCCACGAATGCGGTTACATGATTTACTACATGCGCGTGCACTTATTGCATGCGCAAAGCCCGATCACAGTTCCATCGTGGTCACATCATGACAAGATAACATAATGCACTTCCAGGCACATCGTCACCATCCACTGTTCACCCACGATCGACCAATTGTCCTCTAATTTTAAGCATCTAATACCCAACCCTCTGTATCTTAAGTACTATAACTTCAAGAGGCCATAACTTCGTTGTTTCCTAATGGAATTGGGCATTTAAAAGCCGGTTGGAACCAAGAAACTCTAAATAACACCCCAAGGTCATAGTCAAATTACATAATTATAACTTCAAAAAATGTCAATAATTGCCTAACTTTAAGTAATCACCACATTACTCCCCCCTTGGGGTAACTTTTGCCCTCAAAAGTACACTATCCCATACTAGTATCCTCTTTGGGCTTGTCCCGCTTGACCATCTTCTGAAGTTCCCTGGCATAAGTAAAATTTCTTGTTGGTATCAAGGAGGCATCGTCTATACTCCACCCCATCCATAACACCAAAACTCCTTATGCCTCCGGCCACTGGGGCCTACCCATCTCCATCGCAGGAACTTCTCAACTTCATACAATTCATCAACCTCTAG